GCAGGAGACAGGCACCCGCGTAGCGAAGGACTTCAAGGAGCCTGAGATTCTCCAATCTGTTTAAAACTCTTTTGTTACTCGTCGTCTATCTTTGTATCTCTTCATATGACCATGACCACTCGCAAAGTACTTATGCTAAAAGGGTATTGATCAATCTATGAACATCATGACTGTAACATGCATCAATCTGTTGGTTTTTCATGGAGTTTCAGTAAACGCGCCAAATTTACGGGGATTGTGGCGATTGTTGACTATATATAGTTAACTATGACATTTGAATCTGTTCACCGGTTCACTGATGACACGTCAAGACGGTCACCAATTTTACTCGGAGTTCACGCGGAACCAACTCGAAACGGTTTGCTTCTGATATCCGTTAAGGTCGCATATAAAACGTCATCATCTTTTGTGTCCTTGGTTAGCAACCACCTTTTTTGCAAACTTAAACTACACCATGGCCGACGTCGAATACCTACAAAGTATTATTCAACCTCATCCCGATTTTCCAAAGAAGGTTCGTCAAAGCTCTGCTCCAGCCGCGGAGAAAAGCTCAACTGGTTCCATTCCAGGGAATCAACTTCCTCGACATACTTCCCATACTCCGTGACCCGATCGCATTCGAGACGCTCATTACCCACCTTGTTCATCACATCACGTCGCAAACTGTACCAAAATCACTGCGCAAAAAGGTTGATGTCGTAGTCGGTCTAGATGCCCGAGGATTCCTCATTGGACCTATCATCGCCCTGCGACTGGGAGCATCTTTCGTACCTGTTCGCAAACGTGGTAAGCTCCCAGGCGACTGTGTCTCAGCGACCTACGAGAAGGAGTATGGTGCCGTGAGTTTTCTATATATATTCGGAAGTCAAATACGTTCTAACTGGCGCCGTACAGGACTCTTTCGAAATGCAATCAGATGCGATCCTACCCGGGCAGTCCGTGATTATTGTTGATGATCTCATTGCCACCGGTGAGCCCAGGCTCTCATTATTTGGCGCCGTATCTCATATATTGTTCAGGGGGCTCTGCCAAGGCAGCTGGCGAGCTCGTCCAGAAGCTAGGCGGGGTGACAATCGAGTATCTCTTCATCATCGAGATAATGTTCCTTAAGGGATACCAATGTTTGGATGCTCCTGCCTACTCCGTCATTCAACACTTGGATTGAGTTGCCAGGCGCACTCTCTTTATTAGTATTTTATGTCGATACCCGTTTCTATGATTAGTACTGTGGATTTCACCATAGATGAGTTCATATCTTCAGAGCTTGTCATTGCATACGTGCATTTCTGTCACGGCAATATAAGCATGTAACAATGTTGCCCACCAAATTGACGCAAAGCTAATAACACATCCAATACTGGTAGCTTTATGCTGCAAGGCTCATGCTTGAAAGTTCATTGGGCTAACACTGCAGACCCTCTCAGTGACTTGTCTCTAATCAGGCCTTTAGAAGGCTGCAAAACCATCAACTGGAGATCAAGTGTCACATTATATTATTAGTCTAGTATTTAATAGAGGGTGTCCGTTGATATACAAGATTTGCCCAACTTCTCCCGGCGTCGGATCTATCACACCCTCTGTCCATGCTTGTGCTTCAGTATCAACAGCAAACATGACATGTCCGTAGCCAAACATCCCAGCAGCGTCTACCATGGCAGTAACAGATTTGCCAACTGTATATGGCAACAGCACCAAAGCGACGTCGCTGATATCGCCCGCAGCAGCGATCTCTGCGGCTGAAGCAGAAGGATTGATAGGACTATCCTCGTCGCTGACAACAATGACTCCCGAAGCGCCTGCATCTCGTGCATAGACCAGCTTCTCTAGGAATGCGCATTCGCCACGATGGACGAGGACGGCGTTTCCGTCGAAGTTGGTTTCATAAGGTTTGCATCCGAGGGGGTTGCTTTTCTCCTGTTCTACCTCTGTACCCTCCCAATAACCAAAGTGAAGGGTATCGGAGGCGTCAAGTGCAGCCAAGTCTCCACCGAACTGGGCAGTATAAGCCTTGACATACGTCTCTCCGTTGAAACTTGAAGCACCAGGTTGTGCTGCAAGTGCTGGGTCAAACGTGTCAAGAAAGATACGGAGTTGAACGTCCTTGCTACGGTAAGTCGGGCGAGGATCTGGAAGGGAACCCCAGAGTGCGGAGTCGTTGACATACACTGTTTGTCCAGTACGGACAGCATGCGGCCCAACTAGTACCATGTTCCATAAGTGAGTTCACTAGCCAGTTGGTGGGGAAAGGAGACCTTACGCTTCGTGATGTCGTAACCTTTACGATCCAATCGACTGACGACGTGGGCCCGGATGCCTGTCACATTGTGGAGAATAAAACCATCTGCCACCGTCTTGAGTTTGAGGGGGCCAGGGTTGGGGTCTTCGGGTACCATCTTGCCACCGGGTGACATGATAAAATCAAAAGACTGCTGAAGGATGTCACTGCGACAGTTGGATGTCATGAAAATTCCTTACATATAAATCAACTTCAGGGATTGCACACCAGCCATCAGGAGACCAGTGGTGCTCGTCCAGAGCCTGCGATCGCAACCCGACCAGGTATCTAGCATAATCGACGTCCACTCTCGAACCGACACCTCGGATGAGGCCACTGATGGTTCCATCAGGCGACAAGTCCTGTACAGGTTCATACAGAGGGCACTGGTGGTTCTCTTTGCCACGCATCTTTCGTCGAACATGAGACATGGGCTTCAAAACTTCCTTCGGAAGTGATAGAATGTGCCCTTCGGTGGTGAAAACATAGTGTGAATCATCTTTGTGTAGCGGGTTGTCCTCGTCGAACAAAAGGTACAAATACTAGATAAATTGTGATTGGTACCAAGTAGCGCTTCGGCGTGGCGAGATTTTTACGACGGACCTTTAGTGTTTCTGATAATGCAAACGATTCCATCCTGTCATCTCTGACATTGGTCCGTAAATCTTGGATACCAGTCAATCCACAATCCACCTTGGCGCGGACAGTTAGGTCTCTCAAAATACGTTCACCAACATCTAGATAATACGGGTCTCGAGTGGCCTATCTGATGATGAGCTACAGTATGCGAGAAGGAAGATGAGCCAACCCTATAGAGGTACCACGTCGATTCGACGAACTCCGGTCGAAGCGGGTATTGAAAAGACGTTGCCTGCAGAAAATGAGCGTCCCATACTTCAGGAAGACCAGAATGTCGTCTCCAGATGTTCCAGTCTGTCCCAGTCCAAGGATTATTAAAAAGGTTAGCTGAGGATAATGGGAAACACTTACATGTCATGTGAGATTTGATGGCATTCTGTACATCACCACCCAGGACCTGCAAACCAGGCCAGAAAGCAGATAGAGAATCGATTGTGGCATACGCTTGATTACCCGTATGTATGTTGACATTCCGAAACTACAGGACCTGAGGGAACCATCAAGACAAGAAGAGATATCCTACTCACCCAATGACCAGTCCGGAGAACGGGAGTATCTCATCACAGCGGCATAACCTTCATGCCATACGTCAAGGAACTCTACTTCACCTGCAGGGTACCCACGGGTGATGTCAAAGTATGGAATACACCAACTACTCCACGAACGCACCACTCATGACATACCATTTCAAGGCATATTCATAGAAAGAATCAACGCCTGCGCCGATTCCTGTTACTTCTGGTAGTGTCCACGTCTTATAAAATCTGATCAGAAGCGGGAAGAAATGTAATCAGGCTGAGCTCACTCCTGTCCAAATATTGATTGTATTGCCGACCAAACCAATATCAGATCTTCTGTTCCATAGTGCGAAGAAAGCTTTATACGCGGCCTTCTCGAAGCGGTCGTCTCCGGTGAGACGACTAAGGGTAGCCAATTCCAATATCAGAGAACCAGCGCCAGCTGTGCCTAGAGTGACTTCAGTGTTACAAGTGACGGATCCAATTGTCAGTAACGAACAAGTTTCAAGGGATTCTCCCCGCTGAACCCCATGTCGTAAGTTAACCTGCAGGTTGTTGATGCTGTGGACTACAAAAACACAGGGAGATGCGCACCCTCGCGAAAGGCAGACCAGTAGGGGTGGAAAATGCAGGCAATAGTCGATTCCCCAGATCATATGCCATTGTCAGAAGCTGACCGCGATACCAAGGGAGATAAAAAGGTTGGCCAGGCTGACTTGCAAACATATGACCAGATAAAAGTCCACCCAACACCCTAATAGTGGTCTCAAATACTTGTGGTTTTGTGTTGACATCGAACGACACCCAGTTAAGAACATTTTGGACCGCGTTCTGAAACCCTGGAGGATCGTCTAGTACAACCAGCGTATCCAGAACATCAATGAGAGTCAAGGAGTAGTTTCCTGAGACGTCATTATGTGCTATATTTGCGCTGTTAGGTGCGTCAAGCAACTCAAAACCAGGTCAAAACCGAGACCCTTACGGATTTTCCCAATCTGGACCTCTACCAGTACAAGACAATGGAGACAACTAAAAACGAATTGGAGCACAGAAAGAGTACTAGCTCAGAATGGGCGAACCTCGTCCAATGGAAAAGCTAGCAACTGCCATCGGCGACATGCATGAATTATCTGGACAATGCTCACCATGGGACATGTAATGGTTGAAACCATGGTACCATAGGTCTTTTGTGGTTGCTCTAGATAGTTGTTTACGAAGATTGAAAGCAAAACAGCGGAAGGCGTACACACCTGAATGATCTCTTGCGCTCAGAGGTCCAAGCAGTTTCTTGGTGATGACTTGTGTTTATGCTCTGCCGTGCGTCAACTCCGTTACATAGAGTAGTCAAGAGGGCGAAAGCAAATGTACAAGAATAACCTCTTTCCCATTTCATGCTGCAGAGGAGAATCAATGGCAGTCACAGATTCGGATCGGTAGACGTGGAACGGTCAACTCACGTTCGCGCCGTTGATCACGTGGTTGTCAGATCGAAAGGCTAATTTATTATGAACGGCTTCCTCTCGAAATCCCTATTGCAACTACTACGGCCCTGCAGTAGTAATTTAAAGATGAGCACAAGTATCGTCGACGTATCCAGCAAACTTGGAGAATACATGATAAAAGGCTGGGTCAGGTGGTTTCTGTTTCTTGTATCAGCCACCCATCTCACTTTCATATAATTCTTCATAGGTGTTAACAGACACAACATGCCCGTCCCCGGCGTGTTGCGGTGTTCCTCTCATGAGGTCACCTAACAATGGATCACCGGTAACTCACCTTTGCGTGAATTGCAATGGTCCTCAACAATGTAAGGAACTGCCTAACCGTCGTCCTCTGGCCAATGATACAGCCTACCTTATCCACAGCTACATCGACGCAGTCTAATTCTTCATCAACAAATTCATCGTCAACTCATGAATCTAATTCGCGACCATCAACTCCTCCTACAGAGCTATCCAGCGCTTTGAGCTCCCCAACGTTTGCCCCTCCCATTGACACCGAAGAGATAATCCGCAGGCGGCAACAATCTGACCAAGCATCTGCAGAGATTGGGAAGCGTCTTTTGAAGGGATGGGCGATGCTTGGTGAAGAATGTCCGAACATCAGGTGTTACGGCGTACCTCTTGTAAGACCTCCAAAAGGCGGAGAGGAGAGAGATCCTCGCAAGGTGAGCTATTCTTCACAGTTCTTTTATATAGAAATCGTTCATCAGGGTCAGGAATGCGTTGTTTGTGGGACGGTCTACGTTACTGATGTCTCTGAAGGGTGGCAGCGCCTTGTCCCAGCTCCACCTGCAATTGGAACAGGATCCAGCTCGGGGGCTGGAAACTCTATGTCAAGTGCTCCGATGACATTGGGCTCTCGTGACAAAGGAAAAGCAGTGATGCGCAATATACCTTCACAGGTACCAAAAGTTCTTCCACCTGCTCAGGTCATAGTTGACATAGATCCTAGTCTTCGCCATTACTTCCTGCGTCAGAGTCGTCAAAGGTAGTTGTCTTTTGAAATAATCAATCGTCGAGTAAGCTGATGTGTCATTAGTTGACGATCAATATTCCGAAACCTACACGAGACTTGGCTAATAATAGCGAACGTCTGGTCAGTACGGTGCTCATAATTATTTTATGATCCTCTCATGATCTTGCGCAGCATGCAAGTGTTCCGTCTACCAATGCGTATTACCCTGCTCAGGCACTCAAGCTGTCTTTGGATGCTATCTCACAAAGACTTGCGCAGATCTGCGAAACCGCAAATCAAATGGACGTGGCATCTATTGCATCAGCTGCAGATGCCATCAACAAGGTTGCACAGGCTTTGTCCCAAGTAAGGCAGCTAGGAGAACATGATTAAATTTATGTGGTCGCCCCTGTTTGATGGTAGATCTGTTTCACCTATTACTGTGACTTTTATCGTTCCCACCACAATACTATTTAGTGGAAATGAGAATATTTATTCTCCTCCAGATGATATGTTAGTTCGACGTTGCTTCCGAAAGCTCACAGTTGACTACCGGATTATTGCGGGTTTCTCACCGTCCCCCGTGTTATCGTTGGAGATTACTAGTATTACTTCTAAACACAGTACACGAATTTGACATGCTGTAGAAGCACCGAAGAAGCTTGTTTACTCATGGCGGCCTCATGTGCCAGCATGCTGCCATAAATTCCCAAGCCTTTGTCCGTTCTAACATCAGCTCTCAAACGTATCTGTCACGATGCCATTCAACATGTTCAAGGGATTCGGAGGCCGCAATCCCAACAATCATCGTCCTGATCGCGCAGTCTACAATGACTACGGCGAGGAATTTTCAAAACCAGATTATCACCAACCCATTTCTCATCCACAACTGAGAAGGCAGGAGACACTGCCAAGAAAAGTAAGCATATGAATCTGTTGCAAGATTTAGGCTGATGTCACACCTCTCTTGATCGTAGAGAGTGGAGCCAGTAAGCTCTGCATTCCATTGTATATAGCTACATGAAGCTCAACTTCAATGGGGACAGGTATTCACTCCTGTTCCATCACGTGCACCTACTGACGGAGATGAATACTACGATGGCTACGTTCGGGTGGACAACCCTCAGACTATCCTAGGGGGAACTCTCAACGCCCGCCCCACAAGACCAGAAAACCCTTTGAGCCCTGTTCCGTCTGTTGAGCGAGACGATGGTGACAGTCGATTTTCGGAAACATTTTCCGAGCAAGGACATACTATACATAGTCCCCCAAGGATGCCAGATCAACCTGCATCTTTACATTCCCAAATGCGAGATGGAGTTACTCGGGCAGATTCTTTCAGCTACGGCAATGTTTCAGGTCGTCACATGCCTGACGATCCTGCTATCACCCACATCGACAGATCTATTGACTCAGGGAGCGATCATACTGTCGAGGCGCTCAGGACGCCAATGTCTAGTCACTCTCATACGAGAGGGGTGTGTCACTTTTCATCCGTTTATCTATCTGTTTCCTGACAGCCACCTTTCAGGCTTCTATACACACACCGGGTGGTTACCCGGGGAAGAGTCCTACTAATATATATGCGGACGGCCATGAGGTTTGCTACTGATATACATCTTCCGACAACTATAATGATTACTTGTAGACTCGTCCGATGCGATACAATGAAATCCACCCAGTTGGGCACGGCCGGGCCCCTCACTCAGGCAGGCATGGTCCTATCTATTACGTCATCCCTGGCGGGGTGAGTGTTATATTCCAAGATGAATATGGGAATGAAGTTGGAAGGTAAGATTTGGTTTAGTATTCTGTTCCTTGGCTTGCATTGAAGTTGATCGAAGAGCTGGTGATTTTAGCGGGCGCCCAGCACCACGTTCTGCACCCTTTGTTGTGCAGGATAATCATGGGCGTGAGCTTTACAGGTGCGACAGTGTCATGCTGGCTCTGTAGATTCACTCAAGTGTTGAGTATAGTTATGATGGCCGCGATCACGAAAGTGGCCATCCCAGAGATCCACGAGTGGTCATGATCGATCCCAATCAACGTGGTTCAAAACGCCCAAGGTTTGTCTATGAACTATGCATAGGAGATTCATGATACTGACCTTGATGATGGTTTATAGTAGTAGCAGGGGTTACTCGTCCCAGAACTACCACTCCGATCCCTCTTATAGGTACCATAATGACTACCCGTCCCATAAATACCACTCCGATCCCTCGCATAGGCACCACGATGACTACTCATCCCATAGATATCACTCCGGTCCATCGTACAGGCACTACGATGACTACTATCACGAGCACAGGGGTAGAGGCTACAGGGATAGAGACGACAGAGACCCTTACCGAGAGAGGGAATACAGAGACCCCTACCGGGACAGGGAATACAGAGACAGAGAATACAGAGGTAAGGAATACAGAACACGGGATCACCGAGACAGACAGCCACGAGATACGGGTTACCATGGAAGGGATGATTGGCAGCCCGAGGACCAACCACGAGGATCACACTCATCAATGCACAGAACAAACAGCCACCGCAGCCATACTTCCTCGAATATGTCCGAAAGGCCATTTCCACAGTGAGTGACCAAGCAAAACCATGAGAGCCAGCTCTCTGATAATCAGCAGGGCTCTTCCGGATGACCGGCATTCCAATTCCAGTCGGTTGCGTGACGGGCCTCATCCCTCAGACATGCACCCCGTCGACGAGATCGCTGATGGGATGCAATCCCTCAACATTTGAGAATTTCATGAAAGAGCACGTCTGTTGCGCAATGATGGGTAATTATCGTAATGCTATGAGACATCATCTACGACTACGACTTGTATTGTGCCCGTGCCTGGCTGCGCCATGTACCCCACGACCGGTCACCGAATTTATTTCCTCTTTACTAAGCTTCAGCGTCCCCCCACTAAACTTGCCCACTCCCATTCCGAGACCCCTAACTCGTCTTTGACGGCCTGAGGACCCAGATGATGTATCAAACAATCTTTTAAGAGTGGGGTGGTAATTTCCCAAATTTTTGGCCTAAGAGCAAACCACTGTCGACATATGATTGGATGGCAAGACGTGCTGAAACGAACCTCCTCTAGCTGTTGCTTTTCTCGCTCATCCTTCTTCCTTAGCAGTCCTTCTCGCACTCGCTTGGAAGCCTTATTTCGTTCTGCAGCGCGAATGTCAACTTCTCCCTTGCCGAGCTTGGCTTTCCCTGCAATTTCTAAGACACGACCGGACAGTGCTTTATCTCGTTGTGCATGGGTCAAGTCGAGCGCAGGGTTCAAAGACCCAGACAACAATTTTGTGTGGACTAAACGATGGAGGAGAGCGTCGTTCTGGGCATTCGAGCTAGAAAAATCTGTAAGAGAACAGCATTACGATGTCAAGGACTCACATATCCTCATCATTTTGTGTGTCATCCTCGTTTCGATGTGGGGCCCTATCGACTTCCATTATAGATGTAACTTTAGCTACTTTTGAAGACTGTTCACTCCTGTATCAGTACACGAAGGTGGCAATACATGAGACTTGCCATGAAAGCTTTTTTCTGAGCTTTCGAGAACTGTTCTGAAGGCTTCTGCCTCGAGTCTGAGAACACCACTACATCTGGTATCTTGGTGGAGGAACTGGCGGTAAAGCCGTCATCATATTCATCGGGAGTATCTGATAATATAGCCATTATAGAAAACGAATAGCAGCCTGGATAACCACAAACCGTCGTCATTTTCTTCGGATGGGTGAGTGGAGACAGCTGCATTGCTGAAACCTCCCCACTCCTCGAAATCCTCGTTCTCGAGTTCCTTTTGGGACTCTTCTAGTTTCTGCTTCTTCCGAGGATGTTGGCTGAGATCGAAAGAGTTTAGGAATTGTTGGCCATGTGCTTGTAGGAGGTCGAGCAATCTGGCTCCCTCGTCCTCCATCATTGACAAGTATGTCCAGAAGACTTGTGGGAGGCCTTTGAAATGTAAGACCCTAAATGGTAATTCCGGCGGCAAGCATCCACGACTTGAACTTTGAAGGACTCAGTGGGTAACTCAAATTCACGACCAATGGCTAAGAAGCGCCAGACAACGCAGACAACGCCCGTGCAGAAGCCTTTAGTCGAGATATCTGAAGACGAACAGTGGCGCTTGATAGAACAAACTGGTGTCCTTAGGAAGGTAGCTGAGACACGAAAACCTAAGGAGACTACAGACAATGTGGAACCACTCCCACTTGCTGACGAGATCTTCAATGCGGTTGTGTTCATCATGCCGTTGACGTTCTTTCTCATCATGATGGACATGTGAGCTTATGCCTGGTGCTCGCCTCCCAACTCACCTCCTGTTGTTTGCGACAGCCTCATACATCGGCAGTATGCACGGCACCCAACTGCTGGTGATATTGCTGGACGGCTCTTCACAAACTTACCCAGTACGTTCGAAATATGCATGGAGAATTTTTGGTGCTCAAATTTGTGCAGTTTTGTCCATATTTGTGTTCTACAGTGAGTATAATGCACCTGTGTCAGTTTGGTGCCCTTCTGACTGATCGCCTCTAGCTACGCGGCACAAGGCTAATTCTCGAATGCAACTCGCTCTATTCATACTTTCCCTTGGTGTTGGGCCCCGAATGATATGGCTTATAAACCGTGGATCATGGCTTGTCAATATGCGACAGGTGTGTTACGTTCCATTTCGGCAAGATGCCTTGTTTACAGACTATCCCCCAAGTGTCCGCAATTCGCAACAATATGGCTATACACAGTCGTACAGTTGAACTTGAATTGGGCCGTCCTCTCTTTAGTGGTGACAGGAGCTTGGGCATGGTACACAGGAATGAAACTCGCTCTGTGATTCTATTTCACATCGACAGACCGCACGAACCATGGCAATCACGCGAACAGATACAGTGGTTTACTAGCATCGGACAGGTTCCCTTAGATTCATTTTCATAGCTCAACATGACTTATAAATCAGCTGTTGTTCATCGTGGACAATAGCAACACACATTCTGGGAAGTAGGTGTAAATAACCCTAGGAATATGCGCCGCGGTCCCACACAATAGTTTGTGAAGGATGTGCATCTGACGAACAGAACACAAGGTTCATGTTTTCATATTTGCTCGACGATACGCCCCAACCAGGATTTGGTCTTGTATCCCGAGGGCACCTTGTACGAGCAGAGAGCATTGAGGAAACTGCGAAATGTTCACCAGCAGTAAATTGCACATAATATGATAGACAGAGGCTAAACGAAACAATACCTGAACGTAGAGTGTGATCAGGTTCATGTCCATCCGCGGAAACTACACCCCATCTCCATCATCCAATTCTTCGGTCAAAATTTCCACTTTTCTCTGTGACAGAAGCTTTGAGTGAGTCGCATAGCACGCAGCACACACGACTCACTCGATAAGTTGTGTTTCTCCCTTCGAGCACGTTCTGCAGCACGCGGAATTGCCACTTCAGGCGCCGGCTAAGTACGCGACGAATGGTAGCTTGGTGGGTGTTTGCTCTGTCCATGAAAGCCTTGAAAACTCTGTCATCTCGTGCGAAATAATAGACCTAGAAACAAGGTAGCTGTAAGTTATTGGTAGCATTCGACCCCATTGCTTACCGGTATTGGTTGCCCCTCGATAGATTCCAGTGCGATCGCCCAAGCTCCAAGAAGTAAAAGGTCAGTCGTAGCATTTGCCACACTTGTGTGTTTGTTCATTGAGTGAGGTAATACCAAATCGAGAATGACCTACTAATCCTCCAGGGCAGCGATTGCATCTGCTTTGCTTAGTTCTTTAGTGGCGAACTTGCGCACCGCCGCCTCAGCAGTGGAAACAGGTTTTCCGGCATTGCCAGATCTCAAGGCCAGAGACGCCGATGATACCTGGGCACGAATCCACTTTTCGCCCTCGCTCATTACCAGCGTTTGCATAAAAGATGCCACGAGATCGCTCTGAGATTTATAGAGACCATAATCTATGCCGAGCTTGAGATTTGTTCCTGCCACATGGTTAGCCGCTCATTAGGGACTGCTTGAACCTATGTAGACTAACGCAGAGCCTTGAGGATAACTCTTGTCCGTGGGAGATTGATCTCGCTGTCTTCCAGATGATTGATCCAACGAGAGAAAGCTCCAAGCAATAAGATAGCAACGTCACGATGAGACTGTCCGATACGCATAGCGTGAAGAAGAGGGGTAGCATCTCCGGTTTTGCGAAGTAGTAACTGAGGGATCATCAGTATGAGGAAGAGAAACAAGGTGTTTGAACTACAGGGAAAGCACGATCGCGAACTTCCATCAGAAACATGATATCCTTGCGCTCTATAGCACGAAAGACTTCAAAGGGCTAGTGAAATGCAATATATGAATATCGTGCACTGGTAGGGACGGATGTTAGCAACATACTTGAGGCTCTTTCCAACCCCCTGAGGGTTGGCTTCTGGAAAACGAAAACAAAGACCGTGTCGAAGACGTTTGATCTGATTCTGAGGAGACACTGCCCCTTCTCTCGACGTGAGGTGGGGCATCCTCTGTCGCATCATGGTATTCGGTAGTTGGACTAGGTGGTGTGGGACTGCGTCGTAATTGTCTCAATACCGCCCTTGGTGCGTTCTGTTCGGCCTCTCGCTGTAAAAAGCCTTAAGATATGTTGGGTATGATGTGAGGAAGATGATGCTACGACGTACCTGTCGTAGGCAAACGCGCAGGTAGGCATGGATCGGAGGAAACTCGAGCCCTTGCCACCGATCGTTGTGCAAGATTGGGGCTGAAGCAGTCTACGATAGAAAGGATTAGCGATGTATTGTTTACCATTACTCCTGCAGCCTATGCAGGGCAGCCGTCCGCTGATAGTAGACCAGTAGCTTTCATGGGTTGAGCGCTGTAGAGCGCTCATGCACACGTGTGGTTCAACATCGAACCGAGGTGGTCACAATGCCGAAGTCACGCCAGAGTCACGCCAGCCGTAATTATAGTACTTACTACTTCAGGACCTCAAACGTTGTTCTTGCTAAAGGACTTCAATCTGCTGCTGTCCCCGTCACGTTGTTATCCCTTGTATCCTTTGCGGCCATTACGCTTCTCATCTGCAGAAGAAGTCACGATGTTAAGCATCTGGAAAGAAACATCTGGTGCTACTAGTAGCCATCCAGATGCTAACTTGAAGTGCGACATGAATCAGGATACCCAGTCGTGTGAGGCTGGCGGTGACCAGCCTGGTTTAAATAATAGCGCATTGGCACCTCTAGCCACCGATGGTGTTGTCCTGAATCGTGCCATGCTTCAGGATCCTTCCGAATCTCTAACTTCGAAACCTGTGCTTTGTGCGTCCGACAGTCGTCCTCTTGAGGCCGTCATTCTCTATGATGCACTTTTGCCAAACGCAGAATCCAGATTAATGGAGGCTCTCCACGAGATTGATCCAGAGGAATCTTCGTTTACAAATACGTTTCGCGCTGCCCGCTATGCTCTGGTCGAGGTCGGCTTATGTGCCAGTGATCTCGTCTGGCGTAGGGCCATCAGAGAATATGCTGCCAACAGGAATGACGATGACGAGCCCAATTTTGAGATCGCTAACAAAATTCGCGATCTGGTCAAAAACTGGGTGTTCGCCATGCCGAACTTAAACCTTTCTTCCAGGGGCTTCAATGTAACGCCCAAGTTCGTGCAGTTAATCCATGTTCTCAAATCATGTGGAGCTTACGGGGACAAGTTCTGTGGAATCGTCTTGGGTGTGTATGAGACTATCTATCTTCATCGCAGTTGACAAAGGGTCCACACTGTAGTCCAACGGTCCGAAGTGGCGACTATTATGGTGGATATCATGAGAACCATGATTGACGAATTGGTTTTCATTCGACCTTATGCTTTGACTAGTGAACTCCTTGTCACTGATGGTCACGAGCAGGTATGTGAAGTCTTGTTACCTGGAATATGGTTGGTTGAAACGTATCATGACAGCGCGAATTGCTCGATAACTTCGCGAATGGAAAGTTTAACCTCCTCATTCTAATCAAAAACTTGGAAGATATCGACCTTCCGCGTGCCAATGTCTTTATACGGTGCATATCACTCTTCTACTAGTTGTGCTTCATTCACATGTGTTCCAGGTACAACTTGTTCGAGAGCCAGCTTTCCTATACATTTGCTTGTGCGCATACAATGGTGCCTGATGGACATCTTATACATATGGCTGAGAAAGGGAATGACCTACATCGCCGGATTCTTCAAGAGTATAGCGGTCCAGCTGTTGATGACAAGTGGATCGAGGTGGTGTCACAAGGGGGAAATTCCTCAATACCATCTTGTCCATTGAAGGAAACTGGCAACCCTTACCGCTCGGACGAAGAGACAGCTTCCAGGCCAGAGGTCTCAATAGGAGACCCAGTCAATGGTGGTCGATTATTTGAAGACGATGCCTTACTTGCTGTGTTCCGCATCGCTACAAGTCTTCAGCGCAGCATTACAAATCCATCTCCTCACCCTCTGTTTGTTGTCCATCCCATACCCATACCCAGCATGGGTGGGGTTCAACAATTCGTGTGCACTGTGACACTGCCGCCTGGACTGCCTTTGCAGACGATTCAGGGTCCTCCACGCTTAACGCCCACCCATGCACGTCGCTCAGGAGCCTATCAATTTTGCCTACAATTATTTGAGCTAAGCGGTCTGGACTACCGCCTGATCTATACCCCACGTCGGTCTGACGAGACCGCTTACGCGAACCCTTCCCTATTGAAATCAGATATGGTTTCTGGAAACAGTTGCTACATGCGAAAAAGGCCAGACTTCTGGGTCAACTCATTACAAAATTCTAAAGAACGCCTCTTCCCCGTCGTCGTTTCCGTAGGCAATCCAGAAGGCCCATCCGAACCTTATGCACCTATCATCATTCTAACACGTCAGCCATTACCTCATCTAGAACCCTTCAAATTGTTTTTCTATGGCGTTTTTGCCACTGTCAAGAATGCACGAGGTCCCGCCGTTAGCTTTGATGGCGAGCGTCTCAATGATCTTCACTCGTATACACTCAGAATTTGCCGCACGATCGCCAACAAAGCATTTGTATGTTCGATGGAAAAAATGGCATACTTTATTGCACCGCTACTTCCTTCCCAAGCCAAGGATGTCTCGTGGTCTAACTTGATCGACTTACACGATGCCATTGACTGGCAAGCTGTGGCACGAGCCAACAGCAACTATATCACGCGTTTCAGTTCCGATAGCCTACGAGACCCAAGCGAATTTGAGGATGCAGTCGTCCAGGATAGATTAGTCGAATTCACTCGACGATGCTATGTTGTCCGCTTACGACCGGATTTATCGCCAATGAGCAAACCTCCAGACAGCCCAGTAAGTGACCGTCATTGATGGTCAATCTACTGATCCTTGATCTATATCATTCCAGCGCGAGATGGAATATGCGAACATTCTGGAGTATTGCAGAGCGCGTCGCAAGGGCTTCCAGAGCCTCCAGGATAACAATCAGCCTCTAATAGAGGTATCCAAGGCTGCTACTTTACTAAACCGCCTGAATCCCGTCCACAAGCCTCTTATAGAGACCAACAAGACAGGTCCGAAATGTAAGCTGCTCCTCTAACTTTGGTAAACTGCGTAGCTGATACTGGGTAGATCTCATACCGGAGCTCTGTGGCAAGTGTACAATTCCAGCGAGGTGAGTGTTCTTGGCATGGTCCATCGCTATGCTCATGCAAAGGTCCGTGAACCAGTATATACCGCACTGCGTTACTTTTACCATCCATCACTCGACGAATCGATGATTTCTTGATTGTGAAGGAGCTCAATGCACACTTCTTCGCAAATATGATCCTGGAACAACATTTGCTGTCCGCCGTCTTCGCTCCCTCTGCGACCTTCGAAACAGACTACGAAAGGCTGGAGCTCCTTGGTAAGGTCTACCCGATCCTTATTGTGCACAATGCTCATGCTATAATGCAAGGCGATTCATTTTTGAAATATTTCAGTTCTGTTTACGTGTTCGTTTTTAACCCTGCTTTGAGTGAGGGCGCATTGCACAAGGCACGGCAGCACATTATCAGCAACAAGGTGCTCACGCAGTGCGCTCTTTCCATTGGTCTGCCATCATACATACAGGGAAAGACGTTCAGCTATAAATTGTGGCAACCTCCAAACTTCACGATTCAAGACCTATCTCTGCAGCATCTGGGGAGGTCCAACGATCTCACGTCGTCCAGTGGCAATGGTGGGATGGCAATTGATACCATGACACAGGCTCCCGTCAATGATATCAATGCTTCTACTATGCATTCGACCTCCCAGTCAAAGATGAAACACAAGGCCCCCGACGATAACATAACACAGTGGCTCGGAGACAAGGTGGAAAGGATATTTTATCTGTTGGAATTATCTCATTTATTTTGGTAGACGATCGCCGATGTCGCAGAGGCTATTATAGGAGCAGCGTATCTTTCTGGAGGTCGCGACGTTGCGCTCAGAGTGATCAAGGCCCTCCGATTACCTGTCGCTAATGTCGAACAATGGGAAGATTTCCGTCAGAAAGCTCTTGCTCCCCCCTCAAATGTCACGCCAAGGCTCCGCGTTGGCACTCTTTCGGCAGTGGAAGGGATCATCGGAGCTAGTTTCAAGTACCCACACTTGCTCTCTCAAGCTCTCGTATGTGTCATCTTTCTTCGATCACCATCAGTTGACCCTCTTATAGACTCATGGTTCAATTCATGGATACGAAAATACGTGCTATGAGCGACTTGAATTCCTGGGGGATGCAGTGCTAGATTTTTGTACGTAGTTCCTTCTCTGCGTGGCAATGGTTTGATTTGCATTCGCAGTGGTAGTACGACATGTCTTTAACAGGGATGACCACATGTCCCCTGGAGCAATGACACTATTGAAGGTGAATATACGCTTCGTACCTTGATTGTGATCTCACCAGACACTTCTTTAGTCCGCTATGGTGTCAAATTCAGCTTTGGCAGCAGTCTGCGTCCGGACTGGGTTACATGCATATCTTCTTTACGAGTCGTACGCTCTCGGAAACAGCATTCAGTCATATGCTGAGCAGCTGGAGACAAGACGCCAGGAAGAACATCAAAAGGCAGTCAGGGACGGGAGGCCTCCAGGGCAGTACTGGCTTGATATGGAGCCACCTAAGGTATGTTTACAGCTTGTCCCCGAGCAGAATGAACTGACACGCGACTATAGATTCTTTCTGATGTTGTAGAGTCGATCATCGGTGCACTTTATATCTCAGACGGCTTTACATCTGACGGCGTAGAATTGATGTTCAAGACAATCCTTAAACCTTTTTACGACCAGCATGTCACAATCAAGACATTATCGCATCACCCCACCAAAATCCTGTTCGAAATCATGCAGACTCAGGGTTGCCAACAGTTCTCCATCGAGAAACAAAAACTTGGTGAAACCGACGGAACTCGTTGTGACGGTAGGATTGAAGTAGCGTCCATGTGGAGCGAGCTGATGAGCCATCCTCTAGTTATTGTTCACGACATTATCCTAGCAAGCGCCACGGAGTCGACCGGGTATATCGCAGGGCGCATGGCGTCCACTGCCGCCCTCGATGCACTGGAAGGGGACCCCAGCTTTATGGCTCACAACTGCAGCTGCAGAAACCGAACACAGGTTGGAAAGAAAGACTACAAGAATAGGTTGGAAAAAATGCTGGCTGATCTTGAGGAGGGGCAGAACGCCATGACTGAAGAAGATCATAATGATGCGATGGAGGTTAACTAACAACTGTTCAAACATTCATGAAGTTTGGTTCGAGTTCAGATTCCAGATATAGACATTGACAAGACGCAAAAATTGTGTTGTGTGTCGAATGCCCTACACAGTCTATGTTGCAGCAGACTTGTTTCTGTTAGCAAGTGTCAGTGTGGTTGTATTGATGGTATTGATGGTATTGAATAATCACGTACAATTGAAATTTGGCAGCCGCGAAAGGAATGCTGAACCCTGTTACCAGGAAAGCGGTGAGCTTGATACCGAACGATAGTCGTTTCTTTCCAGGCCACTCAAATGGCAAGTGCTAGGGAGGGAATAGATGGGGTGCTGAACGGGTGAAAGACGAAGGACACGTACATGATATTCGCCATGGCCATGCACAAAGCGTGCAGAGGGGGCGACACGAGTACGCGCAACTTGTGCACGCAGGGAGTGTGGTGCGCGGGCGAGCATTGGAGATCTGAGGGCAGTAATATTGTTGAGTCGGAAGAGCTCAAGTTAGAACCTAGAAGGTTTACCGGAACCACCCGCATTTCTTCCCACGGCTCTCCTCCCATTTGCAAATTGCAAGCTCGTCCTGACCAGTGATAATAGCCGTTTATAGAACGCTAGGCCAGTCCTCAAACCACGAACCTTCAACTTCCGATCACGATCTATCGCGTTCCTACCACTATAGACATCAAGGACAGGACGCTACATACCTAGAAATTCGTGGTATCTGGACATCGAACGCTGTCCTGTTTTATCTTTGACGATTGGTCATTGGGAAGCTTTACCTCTAGCGATGACGAAACAATAAGGGACGATGTTGGCGACACCTTGACATGCGGATTCACGTTTCGGGGTGTTTCATCCAGGAAGTCTCGGAGATAGGGAGAGCGCAACTCGATATGGGCATTTGCCCCTGGACTTGATGACTTTTACTGACCCTTCTGCAACAGGATCGCATCGAGCCTTCGAGAAGCAGAGGGTGAGTCTTCGCACCACCCTTCCAAGTGTCTTTTGAATCTGACAATTCCACTGGAGTCATCTATGACAGAATCTGCTGGTTGGGGCAAATATATCTCGTTGAGTGTGAGTGTATTTCACTCCTATCTCATGATCAGTACTTATTGAGTCGCAGACATGTATGCATGCTCTGCAGCTGTGATGCGATCATCCAGCTATTTGTGAAGTAATACAATTTCGTTCGAATGTTCGATTCAATGCTAATCCAACCCATATATCATCAGTAGCATAAAAGTCAATGCCATACTTAGTTGCTGAAGCATGGACCAAGGGTATAATGCCTGGAAGAGTTCGAGTAAGCTAAGTCCGTTGTGTGTCTCGAGTTCGCTTGCTGCTTGCTTCAAAAATTGTGCAATATTGCAACATTCTTATTCTAGCAGGTGAAGGTTTCAATCAGATTGGCTGACAAACAGGGTGGGCCAGAGTTGGGTTTTGGGTTTGAGCTTAGCCTTTAAATTTATGTGGGATGGGGGCTATCGAAAATACGCTGCACCTGGTGTAGCGTGCATTGTGTAGGTGTGGGTGAATCGTGATGCATGAACCAGACCGTTTACAGTCGGACTCTCGATGTTACTTCATACGGTGCGGGACATTCCGTCTCGACAAATGGTTTAGCTGCTCGCTGGGTCACACTGGAATCATTCCGGGTGCAGTCACGAAGTAAAGAGTTATCCCCGACTCCTAGCTGGGTTGTTAAGTGAGTAAATGTTTGTCGCCAGGGACAGCGGTTCAACAAGATAGGCCCCTATGATGTTCGGCCGTCAAGACCCGGATCTAATGAGGTTGTCACGTGTCACGTCACGGCATTAGTGTGACGATTGAAGGCAACGGCGTTTGGCGGGTAAAATTCAAGTGAATACACAATCTAAAGATGCAACAAGCAGCAGCTAAAACTATGTCTCAACATGCGCCCGCCAGGAATTTTTAACTTCGGCAACTTCTGCAGAACTGCAACAGAAGCAAGTTCATTCCATCCGCATCGGCTCGGAGATGACCTGGATGTACCACCACAGTCGCCTATAAGTCCTTGCCAGTGAGTCTTTCCGAGGCTAAAAACAAGATGCTTCAGCATATTTGGAGCACTGGAGTCCAAGGCTCATGGTGCATAGACGAGGAAAACACAAAGTTTGAGCCTCAGATAGGCAAAATTCCGGCTGAACATCATAGAGAGCTCTGGGGGCCTGGCTGAGGCGATATTATTACTACGCTCTCTTAGGCACTGCTCCGATCACCGAACTGCTCACCTGCCACTATCAGCATTCATTGGTTGGTCACCTGGAGTCCACTCCTCAATTTTAGGCGGCCAAAATCATGGTTCAGTACGGTAAGTGGTCGGATTGTGTGCCTCTAACCGAACAACAGGGCTAGGCCTAGCTGGATGGATCATCATTTAGGTTTAGGTAGAGTTCTGTGGCACAATTCGCGCAGAATTATCGAAAGGTTGTGAGTTGATAATCGAATGGTTAGCGAGAAGTCACAACTCATTATCGCTGCGTTTATAGGACTGTGTTCGTAAGAGCGCGTCTCTTGGCAGAATTTATAGGCTATAGAGTTTCGTTCCTCCAATTTCCTGCAAGGTCTCGACAATAACATGTTCGTAACCGACGAGGATGCTGGCATGCTTGCGCGAGAAGTACAAGATTAATTTCAACTCGTGCCTTCCAGTTGCCTCATGTTTGTTGTTCTGTAAGATAGGAATCTGTCAGCACGACTCAGTGACTTCCCCACGTACGCACCATAAATGGTTATCTTGAGAACATCAAGATAGCAAGTTTACGTTGCATGATGGATCAATGGAGCGGATGTCGTACGACGAGGACAGCAAGCCCTTAGATGAAAAGGGGACTTACGACAGTGTATGTGCATGTCTTGATGATAACACTCTGTGTTAACTGTTGTTTGTATGGCATGCTAAATCAGCTTCGTATGCAGGAATATCAGTGGCGGAAATCACATGAGCCTATATAGAATGTACGGCCATCAATCGATTTACCCAGCCGTTATCATGTGCACACAAGAAAGCTCGTCTTATATGTGGGTCCCAGGCCAACTTCGGAGAGCAACCTACTGTTTCTGCATGAAGTGGCGTAAGGCCTTCAACTCTTACGTGAGTCAAATCTACATATCAGATAACACAAGCCTGTTCCCTGCCACCGGTAGCGTCCCGAAGAATCTCAGAATCACCCACATCAAGGCTGCCTCGGAGACCCATGGCACATACATATCGGACAATAGCACCCAGAAAGGTCGTAGGAACCTGTCGCTTCACCTCGGCCATGCCTTCTATTGGAAGTTGACGATTCATCTAACCTAAACAGGTAGGTACTCGATGACTATGAGCCTCCCTGCTGGGATATCACTGGTCTAGTGCTGGCAATGACACTGATTGAGCTTGGTATCGTTTTGCCAGATGCTGTACCCAAATGAAGTCCAACACGTCCTTGCGGCACTCAAACCATGAAAACTATACGATGCAGCTTTTTGTGCGTCAATGACGTGACGGCTGCCGCGATTTGAACCACAAATGCACATTTCACCGTGATGGCGGAGCTTCGCTACTTCCAGTTCTGCAGCAGATTCACCTGCTAGTGTACTGCAACACAACTCATTGCGCACGTTCCCCGTCTTAGAAATTTGCGATAGCCCTCGTTTGCCCAGTGGCGAAGGTACCTATCAAGATTATTTTTTTTGGTTCTCGTTCGAAGATGCATCCCAAAGGGCAATGCAAAAAACAACGGGCCGATTGTTTGCATTTCTAGGGAAGTGGCTTCTGAAAGGCCTTTTGTTTCGCATATGAATTTGTAAATCATTAGGTGGAAAGTTGCTGTACAGTGACTGTAGAATATTAACGGTGAATGTTTTTTTTTTTTGCAGTGCCGGCAGAGAAGCAAGACGTATGGCGATGCAAACGAATATGAATATCATTTTGAATTATTTTGCTGTGCCCGCAGCTGGGGTCCTTGGATGCTTCTGATTCGTGATACCCCAGGTTCGAAGATCTGGTATATACACGTGTTCGTACTTGGCAAGCACATGCGGCGTTATCTTATCAACAGATGATCTCTGTACACGGCTAAAAGTATTCACTGTTCGGTGGAGCATTTCTTCACGGACGCTCTTGGCATCGCTCTTCACATACACTTTACACCATGGCATCCCTATCAACCCGCATTGTCATACGTGCTACGAATCGCGAACTCGATATTCCGACTGGCCTGTTCATCAACAACGAGTTTGTTCCCTCCGCGGATTCCCCTAATGATCTTATCCAGTACGATCGTTCGCATCTGCCTGATAATGATCGCAACTTATTTGAACCATGCAGCCTAGTCAATCCTGCGACAGAGGAGACTATATGCTCTGTAGCAGCTGGTAAATCCCATTGCTCTCAGATCTACTACGCTAAACTCAATGACTATCAGGCTCGGCAAAGGACATAGACATAGCGGTCGCGGCGGCTCGCAATGCTTTCAATACCACATGGGGGAAAAATGTGACTGGATTTGAAAGGTCTAAGCTCCTAAATAAGCTGGCAGATCTTATAGAGAGGGATCAGGATATTCTCGCAGAGGTCGAATCTTTGAATAACGGCAAGCCATTCAAAATCGCGAGGTACGAAAATATATCTTCTTTCCGTCTTCTTTCTCAACTGAAATTGACGTTGATTATATCAGGGATTTTGATATCGGGGACACTATCCAATGCTTGCGGTACTATGCGGGGTGGGCCGATAAAATAACCGGACAAGTATATGGAGCACCTTTACCGAAAGAACTTGTATTCATGCTTTCTATTCTCAGACCATCGAAGTCGACAACAAAACAAAGCTTGCTTTCACTAGGCACGATCCTATTGGGGTTTGCGGACAAATGTGGGTGGTTTCCATGTGTTCCCTTGCACATGTTCACAGACACGATATAGCATTCCATGGAATTACCCAATCAATATGTGGTATGTATTTGACTGCGTAGATCTTGGAGATCGAAACATGACGTTTTCGTCAGGGCATGGAAAGTTGGCCCTGCCCTTGCATGCGGATGCACGATCGTTATGAAACCTTCTGAACTTACCCCTTTGACGGCTCTCATGTTGTCAAAGCTTATCGCTGAAGCCGGGTAGGCGATACGCTCATCTTTGATATTCTTTCTGACCCCAATTTTAAACTAGTTTTCCACCAGGCGTGGTGAACACGATTCCTTCCCTGGGATCTGTTGGCGGTGCGGCCTTATCGGCGCATATGGATGTCGATAAGGTTGCGTTCACTGGGTCTACAGTAACTGGCCGCAAGATCATGGAAGCCGCGGCCAAAAGCAATTTGAAGAAGGTGAAATTAATTTCAAGGCGCCAATTCAGTTAATTCGATTAATATCATGTGTCTGAAGGTGTCTCTGGAGTTGGGTGGCAAGTCACCCCAGTTAGTTTTCGAATCCGCGGATCTGGAGCAAGCCGCAAACTGGGCTTGTCTCGGTGTTCTATACAATACCGGCCAGGATTGCACGGCAGGATCTCGTTTGTATGTTCAGGACACGATCTATGATAAGTTTGTCTCGCTTCTCGTTTCTAAAGCCAAGGAGCTCGTGATCGGCGATGGCTTCGACGAGAAGAGCGGTGGTGGACCCCTGGTCGGTTAATCATAGGGATCGCACCATCCACATCTCACACCCTTTACCAGGTGTCCAAAACTCAATTTGACAAGGTTTGGCGATACATCGAGAGCGGCCGGGCCCAAGGCGCAAAGGTGGCTTTGGGTGGCCAAAAGCGTCCGGGCAAGGGTTTCTTTGTCGACCCTACAAGTAAGTATCCGTAGCTTTCGGAACATTGCCGCCACCGCTGATCGATTCCCAGTTTTTACGGACATAAATGCGAACATGGATATTGTAAGCGCCAAAGCTGTTTTCCAGAGTACTACTCCACGCTCACGTTCATGCGAATCAGGTCCGAGATGAGGTGTGCTTCCGATGCTGGCAGGATGCCCACATCCTGCGGAACAACCCTGAACATCTAATAGTAATGTTGACTAACAGATCTTTGGACCGGTGCTTGCAGTCGGCCGATTCAAAACTGAAGAGGAAGGTATTTCGCTAGCCAATGACACATCCTACGGCCTTGGTGCTGGTTTACACTCCAGTGCGTAGTTCTCCTGGGTATCTGATTGGCACTAAAATATTTCCGAAACTTCAGACGATGCAAGCCAGTGTATGCGCGTCTCGTCTGCTCTTGAAGCTGGAACGGTATGCCCTATGTCGCTCCGACATGTTCCCTAATTGACGGTATCCAAAGGTTTGGGTCAATCAGTACAATTTGTTGAACAACAATGTCCCGTTCGGCGGGAAAAAGCAGAGTGGCATCGGTGAGGAATTATCCCGTATAAAGAACGTTCGATAGGTCTGACTTTGCGAGTAGGCCGTGAACTTGGAAGCTATGCCCTTGATGAGTACACTTCGGTCAAGGCTATTCACTGGAACTTCGGAGAAAAGCTCGATTGGCCGCTGTAGTGGCAGGAATGACACCACCGAATCTAAGGATCATCGACGATTGTATTTTTACCTGTACGATATTGTAGCTGGCCGCCATTGAAACGATGTTTGTACTTTGAGATTTTCCACAACTTCGTTATCGCAGAGTGACGACACAGACAATGATATTACTAAGAGTTCAATCGACGGATTGCGCGAGCGGTGGGAATGGTGGACTGATGGGGGTAACCTCATGTTGGGGCGTTCGTGTAGAAGGGGCAGGGGTATCATACACAGTATTGATAGACATAGATTGTATTTTCAAATAAACTGACAATGGGAAGAAATCATTCCTCTTCAGGCAAGCGCCCGAGGGTCGCGATAATTTGAAGTCGGAAAGTTCGTTCATACTGACTCCCATGAGGTATGGAAATTTGATAAGGGGAAAAACATCGTTCAAATCTTAGCTAGGGAAGCATACAACGACGAGGCAAGTAGGTACATAACTCAAAACTCAAAACTGTCCATTCGATCGAAGAACACTGCTGCAGCAGTCATAAAAGCCCGCGTCATATCTACACGGTCGTGGCATTAGTCAAGGAGGGTAGCATTAGCGTACTAGCCGACCGGCTATTATTAACCCTGTCCGCCAGGATGGGTTGATGGGTAAGCAGACATGCCTCCACTCCCTGGACCCATGTCAACCGCGTGACTTCCATTGGATGGTCTGACAAAACATTCAGCACAGGAATACGTAAAGGAAAGTGTACTGACACATTCGGCTGGACAAAATCATTCAACCAGCCGGGTGGGACTGGTAGGGTACTAAACGTGGCCAGGTACAAGGGATTGCCCTGATGGAGCGAGGCATCCAGGTGACCAGAAGCGTCTGTGGAGGGTGTGAGTGCCGCGCAAGAAGTATAAGTCTTAGCCGCACCAGCATTCATGGACGTGGTGGATGCATTGTGATGGACGACAGCGACGGAATCATCGTGCGGAGCAGTCGGATTGACCTCAGCGTACACGCATGATCTACTAGTCTCGGAGCACCGGTTGCAGATGCCTAAGGCTGGGTTAAAGACACACTGACAAATGATAAGAGGTTAAGAATGCAAAAGTCAGAAAGTCAGAAAGTCACTAACTTTCCTCTTGAGCCTCCTGCATGATGTACAGGCTTGAGGGGCTCGATGCTGCATCGCAATCGCACTTGCGCTCATCACTGGATCCATGAAGATATAGAGGATGTTCGCGCTTCTTATATAGCAACAGAAAAGTGACAACGAGCTATGCTTGCAGGACTTGATTGGAACCGACAAAGGTGTGGTTTCGGCGAGGTGAGTGAATGGCCGGATCTATCATATTTCCACTTGGGGAATGGTTGCTCATTGTCAGGTTGTGAAACGAGCCGAAGTTATTCTTACCACCAGGACATGCAGGGCGGACGCTTGTCGCCTGGCAGACCCTGTAGGATTCCATAACCATGCCCCTTAAGTTGAGACAATTAATGTTAGAGCAGGAAAGGATTACAATACGCTCTTGCAACGACCACTGACTTCTTGAGGAGGGGCGAGGAAGATGAATGAACTGGAAAGCGGCAGTAACCCCAATTTCCAGAGGCCCTTGGCAGAGATGCCAAATCTGTCCAATGGGACCCTGCGCACAAACGTTAACCTGCAGGCTTACTGTATTCAGCTCGACAATAGTAAAATTGACGTATGTACTGGGTATTGCAGTGCCGTTAACATGCATCTTGGGCGATCGCAAGGAGATACGGATCCGTCACGAAACACGGTCCACACGAGGTGATTGAAAGTTTGAGCTTGAACATTGCCATAAATGCAATACCTGGCGCCTCGTATAAGCGCTAGGAACAGCAGGTGTTCACGAGTACTGCATGCTGACTTGGGCACATGGCAGGATGGGTCTTGTAGTTGAACGAGTGGTTCATCAAAAAAATTTGCAACAGACGGCTGACCGCGGAATTCTGGTGCTTCGATCATGAACGCTGGCATGAATAATGATGAATGAATTCCGCATCAAGTCCACTCGGTGAAATTTTAAGACGGGACGAAAGAGCGAACTATCCTAATTGGTTGACTTGATGCACAGCCTCATAAATCTTACATATACGGTGATGATCGAGGTTGCCGCCGGTGTGATGAAAAAGGTACAAGTCAATTTCGACTGGGGTACGAATCAAACTCTGATTTCTCCAACCTACATGAGACGCTCTCCCCAACCAGCTCTAAGAAGTTTGTCATTAGTCACATATCCAAAGATAAGCGAAATGACTTGGGCGTACCTATTGCATACTAGAGTCACCCTGAAAGTAGCCCCAGTCCCCGTAAAAGGGCGCTACAGTGGTGGGTTGCGCTTGAACCGCGGAGGCCGTCAGGCTACATTGGACTCCCCGTTTCGCGCACAGTGCGCAGGGCTGAGCCGGACGGTTCTTGTCGTATTCGCACTTTGATGCTGATGATTAGCTAGACTGCAAGCGATGCAAGGAACCAAAAGTTGCCAACTCTTTTTCTAGCGTTGCGACATGCCTCGCACGCATGAGTCGCCTTTGGACGCATCACGATAGGCTTGGATGAATTTCCTTCCATATGGGCAGTGAGTTGAGTGTTTAGGTGGGTTGAAATTGGTGTGTTCGCGTATTTCGTTAGGTTAAATTTAATGAACTCGCTGGGATCTTATACCAGGGACGCTGCAGTCATCTGCTGACTCGGGAAGTTGATGCCAAAGAAAGTAAAGAACACGACTTATCATGCCGCAAATAGAGGAAATAGCTACCAAGATCAGTTGCCAGCGGAGCATGAGACACTTGAGAATGGTAGCCTGTCCCCGGAACGGGTGGAATATACTTCCGGTATCGGTCTCCTAAAAGACAGGATGCCGATCTGTTTGCATGTAACCCGTTTCTCATTGAAGATTAGCGTATATCGATCCACACGGCTGCAGCCTGTTCATCAAGCAACCCCATCACGACCCTGTCAGAACTGGTTTGATGTGCGTAAACGCTGCCTTGGAATATGCCACCAAGTTTACGAAGACAACTTAATTTAATGCAGTGGCCGTATTCAACGGGCATCTACGATGCATCTCCAGGAATCAAAATCTCTACTATTACAACGCGATGCAACGCACGTGAGGTTAATTCTATAGCGCCAAATAATCCCGAACTTCCTCCTCGCTGAGTTTGCGGAAAGTTGGCTTAGGTCGGCCTGTTTCACCGCCGATTTTCCCAGCTTCGAGCTCCTCGAGTGTTGGGACAGTAACAACACCAATTTCTATCGTCTTCTCGGTCATCTGACCCTCAAAGCCCTCTTTCAGCGTCAACAGAGCAGTGTGAATTGCGTCCTCCAAACTTATGTCGTCGTTATATCTATAAATGATCGCGAACTCAGCGGAAGAGAAATAGATGCGGCACATAAGCCTCACCGCTTCTCCAAAAACGTTTTGGCATTGACCATGTTTTTCCCAATAGCACTGGCCTTCCACGCCCAGAAAGATCCCGAAGGATCAACCTGATATAAACTTGGGCCACGGTTGATGTCCCATCCTGCGACAAGTAATGACACGCCGAAAGGTCGGACTCCTCTAGAAAAAGAGAATTAAAAACACGCATGATCCTTTGTACATACAACCACGAGGTGTATCTTCTTACCCAGATTGAGTTGCCTTCTGCATGACAGTGGCGATCTCCTGCGTCAAGACCTTTGTGGGTGGATACTCTCCGTATATTTTCCAATATGCTTGCGCACTCTTTCGTGCCCTTGCGATCAAAACGCGGAAGTCAGGACCCATGCCTGAATACACGATCCCAATATTTGGGCACACTACTGCCACTTTCTCGATCATGGAGTCGTCTATTAGAATGGAGGACGACTTCTTCTCAGTAGCAATGACAATTCCGTTGGACGCTGCGAGGCAAAATCAGCTTGTGATATGGAACGAGAGTAAACAAAGCACCTTTAATGCCGAGACTCGTTGTGCCCTGAGAGACAGCAGCCAACGCATGTTCGATCTGAACGAGTTTACCACTTGGCGAGAATACTGTAAGGGAGTAGCTAGCCACAAAATGTAAGAGAAGCAGCAAGATCAGCGAAAGGAATATGAACCTGTAAGCGCCCCCATCCGCGTTGGCCATTATGATATGTCGGGATGTGTATAGCAGATGAAGAATGACTTTGATGGGGAATAAAATGATACAGTTGAAACCTGAAGAACGCGTTATGTGATACTGCTACTGGTACACGCGTCGTTCAGCCTCAGAATTCAACAGACACAAACAACCACATGGAATTTCAGCTTACTATATTAATATCGATTGACCATCATGTACTAAGGCAGGTACTAAATGGGGCTTTTGCTCCAGTTCTTCTGCAGGTCACGTACAGGATGTACGTACGTACGCTGCATGTTATCCAAAAACTTCGACGGCTTACGTCGCTTGTACTAGTAGCTACTTTTACGATGTCGGAATCCTCATCCTTTAAATGACCGACGGCGTCGACAATGGCTCAAACTTACAGATACCCTTGAGATACCCTCACATAAGTTCATCTACCTTCCAGCTGCTTTTACCTTGTTCGAAAGGTGCACGAGCGCTAGAAGCTTCGCTCATTGATCACTGACGTACTGTCACGTCTCTTTCAGATTGTGCATAAGTTACCTCAGAATAAATATGGTGGGTCCACTGTCGAGGCCTTCACTAGCGTTATTAAATTCACAATTGTTTGATGCTTGTGTTTGATGAAATCCTCATAGATTCAAGTGTTCCAATGCGCAAAAACGTATCAGAGTCTGGCAGTGTGGTTATCTTTATTCCTGCGCGAGATCCTCAGTGTTTTGAATGATGTTCTGAACGAGACAAAAGCAGGCTATGCAGCCGCTATACTGGTATTGGCATAACAATTTTACAAAATATAGCGCTGTATCAGCTTGGGTATGAACATCCCCGCTCACCGTGACTAAAGTGCCCAGGTAAATGCATAGCTATTGTTGAAATTACTCTTTGCGCGAATCTCACTGGATTCATGGTTGTCTAGAAGTAGGAAACCGCCAGGGTAGCGGGAATGATGGGAATTGTGCTGGTAAAGAGCATCGCGGAGCTGGAGATGATCACGATCAAAAATTGGAGCACTGATTCAGGACCACGCGATGAAGAGTAATGGAGGGTCGCGAGAATTACCACGGGAAGGATTACGAGGGTCGTGCTGGCCCACAGTATCACAAGGATCGTGGAGAGGCTTGCGAGGGTCGGGCAATGTTGTCAGCCCGAGCTCGACGGGTGAATCAAATCTGTCAACCAACAATGATGTTGGTCAGGTGTGAGGTTGTCAGAAGTTAGAACAGAGTCACATCCTGACAGCAGAACAACAATTGCTCCGGTGAGCAAGATGGGAGGTCGATAGAGGATGAATACACTCAGTGACAAGATGTTCGGTGCCGTGCAAGGCTGGGAGTGGCAGGGGTACTAGCCAAACAAATGCCATTTTCGTCGAGCTGATCACTCTACTGTACTGGAAATTCAACCATCTGAAAGGCGGTTCGTATCATCCAGAAGTAGCTAGAACATGACCCTGAGGTGACACGCAATGCGTGTAGGCTTTACGGACTTACTGGAACAGTACTAGCGAGCCCGATGCAGGACTCGGCCTCACTCCTGTCCGTCTCGTGAGCAGAGCCAAATCCATGTTGGCACGTATGTAATACAATATATCGACTATCTTGTTTGAGTCCGCCTCGCACATCTCATATTATCTCAGTTGGGCTGATCGCGGAACTGGGATTAATGACGCAGACATCATACTTCGTCCGGCATCTTACTTTTATTCGCTAACCTTTAAGGGTGTTGTGCGTAGGTATGGTTGCTATTAGCAGAGATGCGTCAATATTTAGCAACGGGTTTGATGTCAAACAGTCGTACCTTGTGGAAGGTGACCTCAGGGAAGAGGACCTTGGCCTCATCATTGGCAACGGAAGGGTGGACAATGACGTCTTCACCCTTGTTCCAGTTGACTGGCGTGGTTATGCGGTGTTTATCGCCAAGCTGCAAAGCTGGATAGACTGAGTGAGTATGTGCCAAATAGTCACGCCACGATGCTCACAGTCTACGACACTGGAAGCAGTTATTCATGTCAGGTTGCGACTCCAAAAATTTGACAGACTCACCGGAGAATCTCATCAAAGTTTCGTCCGGTAGAAGCCGGATATGCAATGGTCAAGCGAATGACTTTCTTGGGATCAATCACGAATACAGTACGGATCTTCAAGTGGGTTAATTACGATAAAGACTCGACTGATGTTCGAGCGTACCGTAAAGGGAAGACCCTTTGCATCACGGTTAGTCGCATCTTGTTCATCAAGCATATTATAGAGGGTGGAAATTTTCCGGTCCTCGTCGGCAATCTACACGGTGATATTAAAGACTGTATCAATCAGAATATTGCTATACGTACGATGGGGAACTCCACTTTGGTTGGTCCGTATCTCGCGCCGAAGTCGTTAATATCTTCGACCCACTTGCTGTGGTCTTGGAGGCCATTGGCAGAAATTCCAATGAGTTTGACATTGCGCTTAGCAAAGTCACCAGCGCGGCGAGCGACCTCGCCGAGCTCAGTGGTGCAGACGGGTGTAAAGTCTCCGGGATGCGAGAAGAGAATCGCCTAGATGGCTACTTGTCAATATCCCGAGGTTCATCGCCCGCGAGATGCGCTCACCCAAGAGTTACCGATCCATTCGTGGAACTTGATAGGTCCAGTAGTAGTCTCTGCTTCAAAATCAGGGGCGATATTTCCGAGGCGAAGGGAGGGCATTGTGCTGATAAAGGACTGCGCAGATCAAGATTCAAAACCCCTTTATAATATGGGGGAGATTGCGTCTTAAATTCCCACGGCTGAGAACAGTGAGCTAAGATGATGAAAGGATGGCGGTGACATTGCGGTGGCATATGATGAATATATCACCCTATCATGAGCGTGATAAAAGTGGATTCTGAGTGCCTGACCTAATACACACATGACCATATCAGAAGTCGACGTAGGGCCCATGATGCGAATCCTTTTACTAGTAAAAAGCTATAGCGTGTAAAAGACTGTGGGGGTGGCGTTCCTGTTGCATCTGCAGTATCCTATCGATATCTTCGTCAATATCCTGGGAGATTTCGATCTAAAATTTCGCGACAAATGAGTATAGAACCATGATCTGTGGAAAGATGCAAAAGCAAACGTACTGCAGCGGCCAAATCCAGCATCGCCTTTCCAGCAATGAGCGCTTCCTCGTGGTTATCTTTGATCTCGATATTGATGATATGAACGGGCTTATTGAAATCGCCACCGCGACTGAGCAGGTCTGGGAGAACATATCAGTGAGCTACGAATTTAAAAACCGGTACCAACGGCACCCACCGTCACAAACAGCATCAAAGCAACGTTCTTCACATGTAATAACTACGTCTGCAACTGTCTTGCTATCCTGCCACCGTTCTGGAGCTAACTTTATCCGCCTATTACGATCAAGCATCTGCAGAAGTCCATTTGCGGTGTACCTAGAATGAATTCGTCAGACTCAGGCCATAAGGCGATATAGCGGACTTGCAATTTCGGGTCTTTCGCATTGAGTTCTTCGTATATTGAGTTATATGGTGTACCAAACGAATAAATATTAGGCTTGTCTATTGATGGTCCAGGTAGGCGCACGGCAGAGCCCGTTCCGTAAGAAATCACTCGGTACCCGGCCTTCCTTCATGTTTTTGGCATTAGATGAAATGAATGATGTTAAAAACGTGTTGTGATACGGACTGCAAGACATGATGACCTTCCATGGAACGGTTCTGTAAAGATCATGTAAGGCTTTTTCGTGATTGTTGCTAAGAACGCAAACCCACTTGATTACTTGCACACACGACGCAAAAGAGTGGCCTAGGTTTGTATGCAGAATATCCTGCATTGTTTGCAGGAGCCGAGGGGCCAGCGATGGCGTTCTCGGAAGCTGCATCAACTTGCTGCACGAGAACATTGGGAACCATGGACTGTGAAACCATATATGCTCCGTTTGCAGTCCATTGTGTCGCGCCTTGTAGTGACCCACTTTGTTGTTGGGGCGAGGGAGTGGGCAAAGTAGATGGTCCTCGCTGCAAACGCGGGTCCACGCGTGCCAAGCGCGGATCGCGAGCTCGACGTGGGTCCATGGGTAGTTCTGGACACGATATTGTTAGCCTTGGTATGATGTTAGTTGACTGGCAGTAACAGCGTCAGCAGTATCTAGAACACTTGATAGTCTCCAACTCGACCCAGCAACTTTAATGGGTTGTGCGGGTCGATGAAGATTCCACTCTGAATCATCATAGCGTACTAAACATGCAATATTTGCTCACCTTCCGGGGTTTGGCTAGGTGAAATGGCGATTAGGTCGTGTACGATACAGAAAGGTCACAAAAACAATAACAAACACATCGGGGTACAAGGTCACCGGTCACCGGTCACGCGCACGCTTTACGCCGATATTCGTACGTATCTGCTTGAGAATCTGCCGGTGGGTAGGCTTGGGGTTTGCCAGATGTGCATGGATCGTCGCTGGTATCACAATGTCGCCGTGTCGCCGTGCGTAGTAAATGTATTCGAGCTGGGACGTCACACTCACTCTTGAGCTTGCAGGACACCTCTAATTTCCATAATGGATTGCGTATCATGTATTCGCGAACCCACGGAAGACGATATCCTTTTGATCCATCAGACCACGATGGCTGATGAGGAGGCAATCCAGGAATTGGACAGCGAAATGACCTTATTGTATTCTGTTCTGGAGCGCCTCCGCTTGCAGAAGGACAAGCACCGGGAAAATATACGTCGGGCCCGCTCATTGTTAACTCTTGCTCGCCGCCTACCTCCTGAGCTACTAGCTCGCATATTTGAAATATGTGCTAAAAGCGGTTGGACGCGTGCGCCTGTGGTTGTTTCTCAAGTATGCTCAGCTTGGAGGAAAGCCGCAGCATCTCCTCGTGTATGGTCCTATCTTTTCCTTGACTTAAGATCGGGGAATCCGACCGGCAAAGTGGTGTTTTGGTTGAGTAAAGTTCAACACGCGCCATTGCATATAACTTTGGATATCCCTCTCGAGTCACCATCATTGGAGGAGGTTTTGAGTTTACTCATTCCTCGCTCCAAGCAATGGCACACCCTTATCATCAAATCTGTAGACTCCACAACAATGAACTACGTCCTTCGCCGCTGCAATTTCCCGTTGCCTGATTTAAGGCAACTCGATGTTATCACTGAAATGGAGGGATCTCAGGGAGATCCTGTGAATATGTCATCTCTTCAAGACGCTTCGCGTCTATCTCGATTGCTCATCGAACAACCAAATCTTCCACAATGGAACAACTTTATGAAAGTCACGAAACTGCACATTGTACTCTCCTCTTCAACGTTGTTCGTACCCTCCATAAATGCCACCGACTGGATCGAAATGTTGCAGGCCTTACCAGAGTTAAGGGACCTCACTCTGGAGCTCTCTAACCCAGGAACACGCACATACAATGATAGCCAACGTGCTGTGGATCTTCCTCATCTGGAATCACTGACACTCCACGTCTCTCCTGAAGTGAACAGAATCCTTTTGACAATGCACACACCTGCATTGCGTCAGCTCCACCTGCGCTGCTCATCCGACCCTCTCGCACGCCCCCACATGCCTTCTGGCGCTCATTTGTGCCGGTTTCTTGAGTCTTCCCCTTGTGTTCAGCTTCTAGAACTCTATGATGTTGACGTGCAGCGCATCGATTTCGTGCGATGTTTCGAGCTCCTTCCGAAACTAGAGGAACTTCGTCTGCACGACAGTGACATTGCTGATGAACAACTGCGGCTGCTACACGGGGATACCGGGCATTGCCCAAACCTTGCTCGTCTTGACTTCCGTTGGTGCAATTATCTAACTGGAAGTGCGCTCGTGAACCTTACAAAGAGCCGGCTGCCACAAAACGAAAGCGAGGATCGAGGGTCATTCACAATGCCACAAACGAGGCAGATTAATGAAGTGGCTGTTATCAACTGCCTACACGTCAAAGAACAGGATGTTCTTGATCTAGCGGAAATGACACATTGTAGGGTCCTGATAAGGTCGGACGAAGATCACTGTTGTGAGCATACGGTCTCGGTCTCTTGAAAAGTATACTGACGTGATCATCAGACAGAAGGGGTTGCTGCAACAACGAGAGGTATAGGCAACGACTGCGGTTACGCCACAACAATAAACTACCGAAACGAGTTATCCTCTGATCATGGATGAAACTTCGCTTTGAGAGTTTGTACAATCGGGCTGAGATACTAGAATTTAGATTTCAAATATACAATGTAATACCAATACAAGTACTGTTGGTCTCAAACTATGGCAAGCAGTAGTAGCCAGTGTACCATCCGCCTCAAACAAGGACCAGTCTGACATCAATATTCCACGCGTTTGAAAACCTCTTCCGTCAAAGCTGCAAGTAAAAGCAGCGGTACTGAGGTCTATATAACTTTGTCGTGGTTGATAAAAAAAGAAAACTAGGTTGTTTCCACCCTTTATATGACCTTGGCACGTGACCCTCGGCAACATGCGGCCACTGCGTTGGTCAACCTAGTTGCAATTGTGCTCATCTTCCGTCACCGTCACCCATTAGTACTGTCGTTGTACAGCGATTATTTATGGGTTTCATCGACCGTACCACAGACTTCAAAGATGTCCTTCAAGCGAAAGGCGTTGTCGCACAAGCCAAAAGACGCAAGGCCTCATATGATGTCCCTAACGTGAATGTATTTGGAAAACAATATTTAGAGGAAGCCTATACAATTGTATGTCGCAACAATGTGTCTTACGTCGAGGTTATCTTCTAAACTAATTGCACAGCTCAACCATATTGGCACTCTCACGCGTATGCTTTCTAGCATACGGAAGCCTTACCTGAGTGTAGACACACATGCCGTGCCACTCTCGCGACATGGTTCCGTTGCCATCGATCTGAGCGACTCTACAAAATCGTGGTCGGGAATACGTTACCTCACAGACGAGGAGCGGGACCAAGTTGACCTGCAGGCACGTGTCATTCTCAGTAGATGCGCAGACAGAGTCAAGGAAATGGAGACACTCGAAAAGCGTGCGGTCTGTTTCTCGCCGTCGTTCTTGAAACGACCACTGAAGATTAATTTTTTTCTACAGGTCGTGCTGAGCTCGCTGCAAGTAACGTGAATCCCTTGACACGCTTCCTGCCCGCCCGTCTGAAGAGCAACAATTCAACAATACTTTCGGATTTCACAGCGGCGCACCACTCCAGTATAACGTGGTATCTCAGCAGGCGTCTTACAGAGGCCAGCCAGAATCAAAAAGAAATGCAGGAAGAACGTGTTAAGCGTCAACTTGAACGCACGCGAACTCTAGGATCCAATGCAACGCAAGAGGCAATGGATATCGTCTCCAAGGGACCTGTGCAACATAAACAACCCATTGCTGGAGGGGGAGACAGCTGGTTGGGAGGTGCTTCATCAGCACTCGTCTCAGGGATCGCCGCTACCATCGGGAGCGGCCGCCCTGTTACTCAACTGAGAACGCTTACTCCCGCCTCATCATTAGGTGAACTGGATGGAGATGACGATGATATTGAGCTTTCACAGTCTCAGATACTTCAATTCGAGACGGAGAATGCAAATATTCTCCGATCCGTCCAGGACACGCTCGAGTCCGTACAACAAGCCGAAGCACGATTGATGGATATCAGTAACCTTCAAATGGAACTGATGATGCATCTTACACAGCAAACGGAGCTGACTGACCAACTATACGAGGACGCGATTGCAACGACATCTACCGTGGAAAAGGGCAACGTGCAGCTGAGGGAGGCACGTAGACGTGCCAAGGACAGTCGAATATTCATACTTGTTTTCCTGATTGGAGCTAGCTTCTCCTTGCTTTTCCTCCACTTTTACTAGCGACTTATTATTCGTGCATGTGTGACATTCTGTAGTTAGATATGTGTAGTGATAATAAAGCTAGCTTAATTCGGTGTTCCGTAATTGATTGCATTTCACTATAGATTCCACTGCAGTAAGCTCACCAAGGGAGCGGGTGTGAAACTCTACGGAGAACTCAAAGAGTCAGATCCCAACAAAGGCGCTTCCTCTGCTGCCTCGAGTGCCTCTGCAGCGAGTTCGTCACGCTCCGACGGGCTGTCATGTAGACGCTTGATCTCCTTCTGCATGAGATGATAGACCAGCCTGTATAGGGTAAGTAGTCTGCTATTAATGGTGGTGACCTAGACACGAACGAGCTAGCTAGAACAGATATCGAGATACCGCCGACAACTAGAAGGCCGTTGACAATCTTTGTTTCTGTACGCCACGAATTCATGCATTAATGAAAGCGGAAATGCCATGACATATATTCTTACGGGTATCCATATGATTTCTCTGTTCGCCGTCTGAGAGTCTAGCAATACGAGATCCGACGAACACGTAAACCATAACCTTCGGGAGGGTAAACCAAGTCGCCATGAAGAACTGGAACAATGACACCGGCGCTATGCTCTAATAAGGAGTTAGATCCAAACCAGCAAACGACTCAAAAAACTTACTGCGAATAATGAGTTTGACCAAGCCCACGGTGGAAATGAAGAAACACGGATGAGAATAATCAAGGGCATGCCTCTTGATCGCTGTAGGTGTCTTCTGGTAAGCAAGTATGCCGAGGCTAATGAACACACTGACTATCACAGCTTCTAGAGCCTGCCATTTCTCATTAGTGGAAGTCCATGAACGCAGCCTCTTGCTGAACATGATTCGAAGAGTAACAAAAACTATTGCAGAGCCTGCCAGTGATCCAAATGCTGCAGGGAAAAAGCCTCGCAAACCGTACGTGAAACCGAACAAGTTGAGGAGCGTAGTATGTCCAATGAAAGGGGGGAAGGATACAGCGACTGAGGGGAATTGATATGTTTGAATTCATTGGATGAAAGTGCACTTACTCATGATAATGATAAGAATTGTGTACCCATAGGAAAGATGTCGGATGTCTTGAGCGAAATCGTACGTGAATTGAGCAATGCGAGCCGGAGTGACCACAACAATAAATGCGGCTGAGCAGAGATAGAAGAATAGGATGAACCATATCAAAGCCTGCAGCAACTTCGTAAGTTGACAAGAGAACAATACATTGTCTGACGTCACCTTTCCAATTAGACTGAGCTTTTGGTACCTCGAGCTAGCTGATTGTAGGAGGCCCTTGACAAAACGAGCCCCACTCGTGAGTGCGACTAACATATTTGAGCGAAAGAAGAATTTGGTGATTGCAGTGTTGTGTCAGGCAGGAACAGAGGGGACGGCTACTATCATGTAATACTCCACGATCGACCCGAGTAGCATAGTACCAAATATGGCAAAGCAAGTGAGCCGGATGTTTATTTGTTGTCGTGGGCTATATCAGTCACCAACACACCACCAGCCTGCATTTCCAGTGGTAGAGTAGCAGCAGTAGCTGGATGGAGAAATTTTCTTCCTTCCGAGTAATCAATTCAACTGTCGGGCTTGCTTTGTGCTCACCTCTTGTTTCATAGGATCCTGGAACTGGTATTCAGGTTAGTACTTGCACAGTCAACTTATCAAGCAGTGGCTCACTCTCGTACTCAGCCTTTCCTTGCGCCAGTTCCACCACAAGAACGTGACCTCTTCGTCACCATTTTGACGCCCATCAGAGCGGTCGTTGCTGTAACACGGACTGTCGTGATCATCGTGCTCATTTCGATCCATTTTGTCCTAGCTCATGTGTTCGGCTTTATCTGTGTGAGTGGCTGCAAAGTTCACAGTTACAATTTCGCTCAAGGACACAGCGTCCTGTTCCGCCATTACAAGATGTAATCTCGTGGCTAGGCACCGTCTTGCTTGCGCGCTTAGCACTCTATGTGATGGGATTTTGGTCAGTGTCGGCGGAGCTTATTGTTCGAAAAAGAGGGTCAGCGTCATGTTCGGTTGATTTTTGAGACAGTGCTCACAAAAAGTTCCAGAAAAATTCCTGAGAACAAGTGGAATCCAAGAGCAGGAGACCTTATAGTATCAAACTGGTCGTCTTGGATAGAAGTCCTTTGGCTGGCATACAAGTAAGATGCTCGATTGTGTTTGCAGTTTTTTCTGACGAGTCCTGTGAGATACAACCCATTATTTGTGTTGCCTGTTGCGAATGCACCCGCAGCGTCTCCCTCCAGAGATGCATCGTCAATATCGTACACTCCAGGACGAAAGACAGGGACCGGATCCGCAGCTATATCTTCCTTTGACCGCGTATTGAGCTCACCAGAAGTCATTCGCGGCTTTCGTCAGGTGTCTTTATTGGAGATAATATCTTCAACTGGCAAAACACCATCGGCCCCTTCCTCTGTGCATTTGCGTAGTCTTGATGATATTCGTCGCTCAGCTCGTAGACCCGTTGTAGTATTTCCTGAATGCACAACTAGCAATGGCAGGGGCCTGCTTCGATTCGCTGATGTCTTTAATGGCGCAAGTGTTCCTACAAAGGGCTACAACATGTTCTTGATGTCTGTCAGGTAAATCAAATTCCAACACCCGTCTTGTTGTATCTAACCAGTTCCAGATATGATCCCCCCACAGCGTCACAACCCTCTTTGTCGCACTCGGTCCCGGCTGCTACACTCAACCCCCTGCGACACCTGTTGCAAATTTGCACTAGTCTTTCTCCACAATCTATCTCAATCCGCCAACTTCCGCTCTCAGACTCACCTAGTTCTCAGCTTTTCATAGTCAATGAGGTGGTTCCTGAGCCGCGTTCTGATGTACTTGCCGAAGTCTGCGCTGTGCTTATAGCGAGAATGGGCAAGATGAAAAGGGTCGGTTTTGGATGGGAGGACAAATACGCTTTTTTGGACTTCTATCGTGGAAGGCGATGATAATCTGAGATGGCCTATTCAGATCCTATTCATCCATTTGGGTAGAAAACTCAGCGCTCAGCGGTCGTCTTCATGACGTCGTAGAGAACGGCAATACTAACTTACTCACGATCTCCCTTGCAAATCATTCGGTCTTTGGTTTGTGGACTAAAAATTACTGTATGGGTGGGCTTAAATGACAACTATTGAGCACAGAACCGGAGTCGCTTTATAAATAAGAGGTTTCGGATATCTGATAACTTGAGAACTGAATCAATGAGGAAGAAGCAAATCTCTAGATATCCGTCATGAGATCATAACTTTGGGACCCATCCCAAATTCCAGAATCCCGCATAAACGATCTCCATCGCTCATCCATACCTGACTCTCCAGAAAGGAGAAGGTCAGCAAGCTCATCGTCCACTCTCATGCTCGTTGGATCAAACAAATTGGATTGTGGAAGGGGGCTTTGAAAAGACGAGACTGACTCGGATGTCTGGGGGATGGGGGAGGGATATATCACAGGCGCGGAGCCTGGTGTTGTGAATTCGAGTGGAGGAGGCAAAGAAAATGCATCCCATTGATTTTGGAAGGTTGTAAATGCATTCCCAGTGCCCAATGTGGGATGTGGCATCAATGAAGGAGGATGCGTTTTCAAAAATTCCACAAGCGTGGGATGGACGTCAGGGACGGAATCTGGACTACCATCGTCAGACATCGAGGGGGTACTCGTGGTAGATTGCGGTGGATCTGCAGCCGACCGAGGAACAGACGATGGTACTTTCTTGCGGTTCTGCTGCGAAAGGATCTTGGTGACGAGGACACGAGTCTGCCCACCAAACATGGTAAGTTCGTCATCACCTCCCACCTCCGGAAGGAGGGAAGATAAACTGCCTTGGTTGTTAAATGTCGCTCCACTGCGATATTTTTCAAGCGCTTGATAGGCTTTCAGTTTGAGTTTGTTTAGGATGGCCTGAGAAATCGCATGAATAAGATCCATTAGTGCAGTAAATTTTGAATGATGCGCACCAAACCATGACGAGCGCGACTTGATGTCTTTGATCCCCGTGAAAATATTTCTACTGCAAGGTTCAATTCCTGCCATGCAGCAGGAGCCATAGTCGTCGATGGTGCTCGAGTAACAATGGATCCCACAATTACCTGTGCCTACTTGAGCATCATGCCATATACTAAACCAACTACGTACAGCTGCAGACAACAGATGGCTCCAGATAGTCCACCAACGCATAAAGAGGTCCGGGAACATTTGGAAGTTAAGGACAGTAGTCTTGATCGTTGCCGAGGCACAACGGTATGCAGCAAGGAATGATGGAGCATAGGGACTGCGGAGAGGATTTGTGGGAAAGTCAAGCAAGGCTTGTGCAAAAAAACTACGATGAATGAACAACATCGCTGTAAGGACGTCAGATGGGGCCGAAGGTCATTGCGTCTAGGGGGCTCACTCGTCGTTCTAAACTGGAAAAGAATGCGGCCACGAATATAAGCTGATGGTGTAGTGTAGTTGTCTTGAACGCTAGAAAGATAAAGGTTTAAAGGGGGAGGTAAGACTTTCTCGCGAACTTTTCTATCCAGTTCTAGGATAGTGCTGTAACTTGGAAGTTCTGCGCTTAGCGTTAATTCTGTGACTTGTGAGAATACGTCTCTTGTGAAAACATGCTTCCATCGCCAAACTAGCAAAGTAGAATGATTCAGCGAAATAAGAGCGGCAACAGTCAGAACTCACACCCAATCTCGACTTCTCCTTGATCATTCATAGTTGTCGTCTCGTCTTCAGGAAATTCGCAATCTATGTACGATAACCTGTTTGATGGAGGACGACCCAAAGTGAGACTCTGACCACATCGTCAAAACCATGTAAAGGTACAAGAAGTATCACTCACATGAAAGAGATCCGCAGAAAAGATTTCCCAGAATAGAGTACGTCGACGCTGAACAACCTTCGGGCTCATATTAAATCGAGAAGGGTCCCGGTCTATGCAAGGAATGAAGGCTGATGAAAACGAGGCCGAAGACAGATACTCACGAAGACCCATCTGAAAAAGATACGGTCAATGACATGTTCGACGGGGTCAAATAATGAACATACACTTTGAGCTAACTTGCTGGCAAGTGCAATGACAGACCACGCGCTGTGTAACGCGTATTGCTTGCCTCTGTTGCTGTAACAGTATCCCATTACAGCCAGAGCTTCAATAGTGTGAATAGTTGGCGATTCGAAAACAGAACGGAGTGATAATGCTACACGGCCAAGATGGAAATAGTCCTCTGCTTCCTGGTTACATGGTGGTAAAGTCAAATCCATGAGAGCACCCTGGGAAAAGACCATATAGAGCGCGGCAATTGTGTGTTCAGGGCACTCTGTTTTAGATTCAGATGTGTTATTTTGTGTCTCCTGAGCAAGAGCGTAAACAGGTGACAGAATGTCATCAATCAGTTCCTCTCGTCGGATTGGTTGAAATATCCAAGCAGCGTGCTCCATATATGTCTCGCAGAGTGCACTAGCCCGCGGGTACGGTGGTAGAAGACTTAACAATGAGCTCAGGATACTTTGACACTGATCATGGTCAGGAATACCAGTCAAACTGAAGGGGAGACTTGACTCCAATCGAGATACGTCCGCAGACATGCTTTGAAACTCGTCTGGTTGCAAGGATGAAGTGCCATCGATTTCAGCGCCAGCCTGCCAGGATGCGATAAAATTAACTGTCTCTAGCTTTTTTTGAGCCAACATACCATGAACAAGGTCTGTTGGGTTCAAGTTACTGTGACTAAGCATTCACTCGGAAAGGAAGCGAAAAAGTGGCATTACCTCTGAACCTGCAGAAAGCCCAAAGTAATTCGACTCACCCCCATTGCCGATAGTTAAAGTGCCGGATGAATTTATGGGGACACTACTGCTTTCATGTGTAGCATCGTTGCTTGACTTCGGAGCTTCTGGTCCAAATTTTATGGAAAGTAGATCTTCGGCGAGAAGCGGATGAACCTCCTCAGACACACCGCCTTGAAAAATGGATAGTGCATCCTCGAGTTGTCGGATTCGCTGGCCCATCTCCACAATCTTGTGATGCAGGTGTTCTGTATCTGCAAGGACGAAACTAATACGACTCAGCACGATCGAATGTACAGGAAAAAGATGGTATATACCGAGTACCCTGCCCAGTAGAAAGACTACCTGTAGGTGTTACAATGATGTTAGAGCTTATTTATTGCAGGATAACTGAACACAACCATTTGGACAGATGGTCGGGCAGCCTCGACGAACGCAAGAGCCACATGGTACTTTCTTGTCACATTTCAGTTTCAATCTTCAAGCAATAAATTAGGAAAATTTTAGATTCGAAGAGCGGGAAAACCTTCTGCACTCTGCGCACGAGATTTCACCACGAGCGCGCTTGAGTTCTGTTTCCTCCTCATTCGCTACTTTGCGAGATGTGCGACGGGGAGCATTAAGAGAATTCTTCGATGTGTCCGCTGGCATAGATGCGACTGGAACGCGGTCTAAAGTTAGAAGTCCTTGGTCACCGAAGAGTGATAAAATGAAACAAGTTTTGTTTTAAGACAGAGCAAAGGGGGGAGTCCGGCGGCCGAGGCTGAGCCAGTCTACAGTGTGTTAGTCACCTAGCTGTCACGATTTATGTCACGTGGATGCACGAACAAGAAATCAAAAGTCACGTGCTAACAGCGCGTCCGCCCGAGAGGTTTGAGTTCTTTCAAAGTTTGACAACAATCGACATCGCAGGAGACGTCACGATCTCTCGCCCATACATTTGTACCTTTTATTCACTCATATTACTATAAACTATGCGCTGGCTAGCAATCGCCTTCACAATCCAGGTCCTTGCTTCGCTGGTCGAAGCAGCCATCGTGAATATTTCAAACACACGGGGCATACGAGACAGCCGATACGCTAAAGCACACTACCTGCCTGAATCACACTCCTTTGATCCAAGAGACGGATGGGAACCCGTCAATATCTCCAACCTGAACTACAAGTATCTCGCGTCAAGTCACAAAGATCACTCCTTCCACAGAGCACTGCGCAGGTTGCCCCAAAACGACACATCTGCCGGCCTCAGAACATCAAAATACAGAGCAAAGCACGCAAAAACCTCAAACACAACAACAACAACTGGATTTTTAGGAACAGTGGTCTCAAGCCTTGCTTCTATCTTTGCGGGATGTATGGGCAAGGGACCTTCGGAGGGTGTCACCATAACTTGGTATGTGATCTCGCCTGCGCTGCAGTTGATATGGCGAGGTCAACTATGTTTGCCAGGTATACTGGCCATGACCTAGAGAATCCCAGTTGTTGGAGTAACGGAGGGTGGTCACCAACAGTAAGCATATGTGTGCATACAGCCGTGATCAAGTCTAAGAATAATAATCAACAGGACAAGTCTTTCGTGGGCGCCGTCACCTTGGATGGTTGGATAACGAAGCCACAATGCTTCAAGTTTATTGAACGTGAGTTGCAAACTTCCTAAGTTTGATGTCACTGTACATTCGATTGTAATTTTAGTCTGCAACGGCAAGACCTGTATATTTATTCGTGTTGTGGACACTTGTGCTGGGTGTGCAAAAGGGTCTCGTCACGTCGACCTCACCAGGGCGGCATTCAGCGAACTGGCGAGTTTGGGTGAAGGCGTACTGACCGTGCAGATGCGACAAGCAACAGATCCCGATAACTGGTAAGTAACATACAGCCAGAGGGGTTGCACAACTGAACAGTAACGACAGGGACACTGACTTGTGGGGGCCACAGGCCGCCAAATCCTGACTCACTCAGCGTTGCGCAGAAAACTGTCTGTCTGTCACTTGTACCGCTAGACACTTATGAGTACGACATTAGAACTATTCCCACCAATTAAGCTTTGATGGAAACCCTTTTTCTCTTTTTGCCTTCTGCGATCTTCGCGCGAACTTTCTCCTCGTCGAAGTTTTCCTCTTCATAGAACTGGGCAGTCCTCTCTGCTTCTGTTCGTCGGCGAAGATGTTGTAATGCAACCAGATTATATCCAATGGTATCTTTCTCGCGGCGCAGTGACCTGCGCAGGTGCACGCGTAACGGGATCAACGCCGTGCGCATGACACGATTAGTCACGATCTGGTGGTGATGGATCTTCAAGAGGAAGAATAATATGCGAGAGACGAGGGAAATATTCCACCCCTTCGTAATGCATCAGAGGATGTATCTGGGGGGAAGTTCAAAGAAAGGCTTACTTTCTGTGCCCATAGGTCCAAGTAGCGCATCAACGAAACTACCTTGTCAAATGGTAGCACTAGCAGGGCGTCATGCAAAGCAGTACTGGATATTTTCTCGACAACTCGTAGGACGTATGCCTCAGGTTCTAAGTCATATGCTGCGAGAATGGGGTTTCGAGGCGGTGGCTGCATCCCTGCGGCCTCTAGTGAACCCGCTTGAGTAACCTTCCCTTCATATTCCTGGAAAGCAGCCCGCTCGGCATCAGCGAGATCCAACGCCTCTATAATACGTTCGCCCGCCATGAGTGTCTCCGAGGTTTGCTTGGTGACCGCAGCTGCTTCCCCAGAGGGTTGCTCATCAGCTTCGCTGTTGTTGACGATGGATATGTCAGGACGGTTAAGTGCGTTTGCAATCCCGTCCTCATAAATTTGTTCAAGCTCTCGCTCCCGCTCTTCCTCGAGAAAAAGCTAGACTCACAGTCAGGCATGGTACCAGATATATCACTGCAGTACAACTTACTGGTTCGTCGAGTTTCTCCCAAACTCTAATGGACTTGTCGTGCGAGCCCGTCACTACAAATTTGGCATGGTTGCTTACAGCCAATGCCCAAATCTCATTGTGATGACCATCAAGTTTCTGGATGTTCTCAAACTACACGAGACTTGAAAATGATTCTCAGGGGGAAAAGAAGGTGTCTCACCTTGTCCCCGTCCCAATACTTGAGCATCTTATCCTTGCCAACAGTCCAGAAGTGATGTGACTTTCGCTCAAAGAGTACCTGCATGACACTCTCCTCGTGAGCAAATATCGACTTGTGGCAATCACCAAAGTCGAGGCCCCAGATCTTCACATTTTTGTCCGCAGAGCACGTGACGATGAGCTTTGAATCATCCGAAATGTCCATTGCTAATACAGGCAGCTGAAAAGGCATTGAGACTTCGTGTTCACAGAGGACTCTGGGATTTACCTTGTGACCATATAGAGAAAGGAAGAACTTTAGGGTGTCTTGATAGAAAATCTTGACCGTGGAGTCCAGTAGGGCCACTGCCAATAGTTTCCCATTTGGGCTGTATCTGACAGACAGGACTTCATCTGACATCTTCAACGTTCGTGTATGATTTAACGTCATCGACTTTTTGACCTGCATATGTTGGTTTGTGATTGAGATTGCAGAGCGCACGTCCGAACAACGAAACACTAACCTCGTCATTGGAAAAAACATTACGCTCGAACTCCCAAAATTTAACTTCTTTATCAGCACTACCGCTGATCAAAATTTGCTCGTCTGGGCGAACATGCAACGACCAAACAGTGGAGCTATGGGCTTTCACGGTCTCCGTGAGTGCCGAAGATGCTAAGTCATATATTAGAATCTCCCCTGACTTTGTTCCAATAGCGACCTGGAGGAAACCTAATCAGAGTGACATTTTCGGGGAAAAAGGCAAAACTACATGTCTGTCTCCAGGAAGGAATGTGCTGCAAATAGCGTAGCCGCAGTCTATTGTGCGTATGCACGCTGTCGTTTTCAGGTTCCATAGTTTCAAGGAACCTTCCATACACATATTAATGAAGCGCTGAAACCACTGACGCGAACGCACCATTAGATGCTGACGCAAGTATCTGGTCATCTGCACTCAAACACAAAGTCCTCACATCTGTACGATGTCCGGGAAGATCAACCGAAAACATCCGAGTGGCTTCAGGTGTCTCTTCCTTGGACTTCGTAGGGGGTGGAATATTGTACACTTCAAGGGCGTTTGACGACAATGCCACAAAGAGCTGCGACGTGACAAGTCAGAGTCGTACAGTGTTCGAGCAAGTTGATACGAACCTGAACACCAGGTTTCGATACAGCTTCCTTGGAACCAAAATCGAAGGATCGAACTTTTGCGCTTGCTCGAACCACAAGGTAAGGAGTGAAAAGGTCAATCACGTTGATCTCCTGGTCAACATCCATAGCATCCTCCACGGCGTCATCGATATCTTTCCCTTTCTGTTTGCTTTTTCCCTTCTCTTTTGCACGCTTTTTCCGTCTAGCTTGCTTCTTCCTGATTTCCTCCTCAGTTCGGATACGGAAGATTTCAATGGATCGGTCGTGTGACTGAACAGCAAGATATGGTTGTGACGGATGGAATAAGATCTGAGATACACGGTGACGTGACGAGAGCGGGAGGCTGGTAACAGGATGGATCATCTTTGCGACCTATACACAAAATGAAATTCTGAATTAATGATTACAAAATCGTTACTTGCCTCGCCTGCCTCATTTTCCACTAAACCCTGCGACATTGATTCGTGGTCGATTTTCCATGCTTTAACTTCGCCCTCACTGCTTCCGGTGAAGATCAAGTTCTTCTCTGGATCGATATCCAGGGAAGAAACCTCAGAGCGGTGAGCAACAATTGTCTGAACACAATGTTGAGTAGAAGTGTCCCATAACTTCATGAACGTATCTTTTGATGTTGTTAGTAGCATATGAGAGCGTGAACCAGTCGAGGTGGAAGGAAGTTCAGGCTCGGAAAGGAATTGTATGGTTGTGATTTGATTGCGATGGCCTCGTAAACTTGAGGAAGGGTAAAGAAAAAACTCGTACAACACTCGATATCACGTACCGGTAGAGGCCAGCTTCTGCTACAACATCCCACATGATGATATCCGTATCTTGCGAGCCAGAAGCAAGGTGAGCTCCTTGTGCATCAAATGCGAGAGCAGTAACGGATTTTTGGTGTCCATTAAATGTTGCAATGACGGAGACAAATGCACTATTCCAAAGGCGCACTGAACCATCAGCGTAGCCCACCGCAAAAATGTTTTCTTGAGGAGAACGGCACATGCAAGTAACCTCAGATCTGTGTCCTGTTTCGTGCCACATCGAGAGCTGGCTACACATGAGCAGACAGCAATACTTGAAACAATATCCGCATACCATTTGCCCTTTCTTCATATCCCATACAAGCACGTCCTCAAGTGCTGGGACATATGCTAGTTTACCATCATATAGTGAGTTGGAGATTGAGCTGCATATCAGACCAAAAGCCTGTCTGACTGTGAGCGCGAGTGCAATAGATATAAAGATGCCTCATGCCTGGGTTGGCCCGTGCCGCAGGTAGCTTTGCACCATCTGTATGCTTCACGATGCGTTATGGTCACCCCATATCTGAGCGGACCAAGGCAGAAAATGCGAGAACCTAAATTTGGTAATATATTTCCACATCTATTCTATCAAGCTAAGCCTTCTCGTGATGCGTCTGCCTTCTCACCTTGCGCATAAGACATCTTGGACGATCCGACTATCGAATATTTCGAAAGGCAATCTAGTCTCAGATTCAAACTGTCATTTAATCCAAGGAATGATGCTCCAAGTTTCTCAGTCGAGCTCTGAGGCAGCCA